AACAGATAATAAACATGAAGTAAATATTTGTAGAAATAATCATTATAATGTTATACATATCACAATAAAATGGAAACAACTTACATGTTTAATGAAAAAGATATGTATAAATACATATAATAGTTTTAGAATGCAATATTATCCAGTTATCAAAATTATGTTTCTGAAGAATATTTGATTGCATAGGATAAAAGTCCAAACAAAATGTATGTAATATGCTTTATGGATATACATATGTTATATTCATAAATATATATATCAAAAATCTAAAAGATAGACACATACCATATATAATACATATGTAATAAAATTTCAAATATCTGTAGAACTATATAGAAAAGATTATGAGTGTGAATGTTAATAGTAGTGGGATTTGGAGTGATGTTTATTTTCTTTGATGATTTTCTATATTTTCCAGTTTAAAAAATAAATTAATTACTAGAAGAAATACCATTCTAAATCTATAATAAATATTGTTTAAATGGGGAGATTGCTCTAGATAGCTGCTAGGCAAGCATTGATAGTTACCATGTACATTATGGGTCTGATTAGACGTATTGAAAACAGCTCCCCTTTCCTCCTTAGAAGCAACTTCTAATGCATTAGCCAATTGTCCATATCTGGGTATTTGACTAAACTTGAATCTGTGGAACAGGTTTTCAGAATTGAATCTTACAAGGTGTTCTTCACTCTTCTAAAGCTTAACTTTTCTTTTATGAAGAGGTTGATGGTTGTAGGAGAAAGAGGCTTAAAGAACATCTAAATTCATTAACAATTTGTTATTTTCAGAGCATTTGAAAATCGGTCTATCAGCAGATTGGCTGATCATTTTACTGGCTGAGATGTCTAAATTGGTGGCACTAACATTTGATATTTATTAAGTTATAGTTGTTCTCTTGGGCTGCTTAGCTCCAGCTAAGTTCAATTTAAATTGTGAAATAAAAAGAAAATGAAAAATTCTCATTAATAGTTAATTCCCATAATACATGAGATAATACACTCATGATAATGTTTTCGGTGACCAAATCTCTGCTATATAAAGGGCAGAATATCAAGAAATATCCTTGAAAAGGTGTGCCTGTTACTTCCATTTGTTTTCTCTTTCTCAAGGGGTAAGCATACTTCTGTTAGGATCATTTGTGTTTAAATAAATGATAATTTTTGGAAGACTAGGCATGAGTTCATTTGCATTTAATGTAAAAAATGTTTTGATCTTTCTTATGAATTGTCTCTTTTTCAAAGTAGAGAAAGTTTCATTTAAAGGTTAAAAGGTACAGTTGGCATACCATCTTATTCCACAGTTTATAATCTATTAATATCATTTACATTGATCCTCAAATTGTTCCTGAATTGACCAATAAGAAAAAAGAAATGTGTGTCAAGATAATAGAGATTGCTCAATAGGTCTCAACCAGAGGAGACTTTGCCCCAGTTCCACTGGAGGTTTGGCAGGGTCTCCTGATGTTGTTGGTTTTCACACTTAGGGATAGGGAAGGTGAGATGGGAATGTCCTGCTGACATATAGTGGTTTGAAACTACAGATGCTGCTAAATATCCTTCAGTGTATTAGACAGAATTATCTGGTCCCAAATTTCAATAGTGCTAAGGTTGAGAAATCCTGTTGTGTACAGATAGGTGGAAGAAGTAAACACTGTAAAATATTTACATCAGGATTAAAAGGTATACAGGAATTTTTATACTGTCTGAAACTTTTCTATAAGTCTAAAAGTGTTTCAGAATTTTTAAAAAGATTTAAATAGGTACAGTTGGCAGTTTTGGTCTCTATACCTCTGTTTACAACTTTGAGAGAAAAAATTATTTGTCCCTTGTTGTGAATATAAATTCAGCCCAGTCATTGTCCATGATCTGTGAATCCATAGTCTACAGAGACTGGAAGGGAAGTTAAAAGAGCTCCCAATGCCCACTGGCCCATGACTGTATCTGCTTGCTCCACTGTGCAAATACATATCCTCCTGTCACATCCATTTAGACAGAGAACTTCTTAAACCACTCTTCAGAACCTGGTGTGGAAGCACCTGATGAAGAACCACCCCTCTCCACCCAACTCTGCCTTACCTGTATCTTGTCCCCAGGTTTTATATCTTCTATGTATCTTGCCAAGGAACTGTTCTTAGGTCTTCTTTATGAGTTTATACTCTTGTTTCTTTTTGATCTTTTTCTTTTCTTTTTTGGTACCAGGGATTGAACCCATAGATACTTAACCACTGAGCCACATCCCCAGCCCTTTATGTATGTATGTATGTATGTATGTATGTATGTATGTATGTATTGACAGGGTCTCACTAAGTTGCTTAGAGCCTCACTAAGTTGCTGAGACTGGCTTCGAACTGTGAACTTCCTGCCTCAGCCTCCCAAGCAACTGGGATTACAGGCATGTGCCACTGCGCCTGCTCTCATGTTCCAATTTTCTCAACTGTTAAATAGGGAAAATAATAGCACAACCTTGTAGAGTTTAAGTGGATTAATAAATATAAAATGGTACAACAGTGACACATACTGAGCCCTTAATAAAAATGAGTATTCACTGATTTTTTTCAACTAATTGTTCATGCATTATTCCTGCCCTCCCCATACTCCTGTGAGATGTACCCTAACTTTTGTATGAGGAAGATATAAATCATGTAGCACAGTTGTCCATGTTCTTTGTACAGCCCTGACCCCGACTCTTGCTGTTTCTGTTGCATTAATTCAACTCAAATACTTACTATGAATCTCCACATCCTGCAGCAGGCACAGTGATTGGGAGTCCTTAATATTCTCTGTATCATTCTCTTTTCCAACTCGTCCCATCCTACTCAACTCTCTTCTTCCATTCATTGGATATTTCCAATGAATCATACACAATACTAAAATGTTTCTTTCTTTTTTAAAAAGCTTGTTTGCTTCTCATAAAAACCCTGTTTGAAATGGAGACCATGATTTTTCTTGCTTTATAATTAAGAAAAATCAGCCTTAAAGAGATTAACTGATAAAACTGAAACCTCAAAATTAAAAAGTAGTACATCTTTTCCTGTACTTTCCTAGTAACAATGTGCTCAGAGTGAGGGGAGCCCTGCTGTCTAATTGGAGGTACACTACTGCCCAAGGAGTTGATGCTACTCTTCTGGTTCACTTCCTTGCAAAACACAGAAGCTGGAAGAAATGTGACAGCTATGCATTTGAAATTTTTCATCTTTCAGGGGTTGTATTAGGTTCCAGGGACATAAAAATAGAAAATTCTTGGTCAGTAGCTTCAATTTGTTTAGTATCTATGATTTTCTGTACATGAAAAACTTAGTGGATTAAAACAGTGACTCACTGTTTCTCATTATTCTCACTAGGTAGTTCCAATATTGCTTACAGTCAATCATGTGAATTCTTTCAATTGGGAACTTAGCTTGGGGTCTAAGATGGCTTCACTTACACATCTTGCAGTTAGTGCTAGCTGATGGCAGAGGGTCTCTGTTTTTCTCCCAAGAATTATGCTTCAGAGCCTCTCACCATGTGAGATCTCCAAAGCATAGCCTGGTCTTCTTGACATGGTCATTGCTTCCAAGGGACTGAAAATGGAAGCTACCTGGTTTCTCAAGGCCTCGTTAAAGAACTCACACAGCATTACTTCTGCCACATTCTGTGTGTCAAAGCAAGTTATAGGGCCAGATCATATTCAGGGGCAGAGGAAAAGACTCTATCATTTGATGTGAAGAATGGCATAGGATCACAAGGATGGGAGGGGTTGCCATAGCCATATATGGGCAATCTGTAACCCTCACAGTCCATGTATCTGTTTAGCCAGAAAACAGAGTTTTAAAGCTAGAAGACTCCTTAACTGTCAAGGATTCAACCCTGTGATGCTCTACATGTTTGCATCCCCTCACATTCATAGTATAATCACCAATAGGAGGCAGAGCCTTTAGAGAAGTCCTTAGTTCATGAGGCTCTGCCCTCCTCCTGTTCATGAGGTACCTGTCTTCCAGTTCCTGGGCTAGGCACCAAGGGTCCTTGGTGGTTTGGCCTCATTGGCCAGCACTGCCCAGGTGTGCCTTCCTTGTCATTGCCTTTTCTGTATATTCTGAGCTTGAAATGATGCTGGGCTTTACCACATGCAAAGAAAATAGCGGCTCAAACCCTGCCAGATGTTATGAAATGAAATCTAGCACACTTATATAACATTTTGGAACAGTCCATTACACTGCTGTACATTTTTCTAAAATCCACAGACAACTGCTGCAATGTGAATCATGTTGCTTGATTCCGAATGGAGCAGGTGATCCATAAGTGATAATTTTCCTCAGCATAACGACAAACCTGAAAATAATTTAGAGGTTCTGTTTTCTCAGATCATTAGGATGTTATTTTGGATTATTTCCAGCCTGCTGGGTGGAGGATAGATATTTATTTTGTCTTGAAGTCAATATTTGTTATCAAATACAGTTCTGGTATTACCCCAGGCCTCATGGGTGTGTCTGGCTCTTATTGATGGTTAAGGTAAATTAAGATTATGGCTTCCTGAAGGCCACAAATTTCCTAAGAAATGGTATCTCCAGAAAAAAAATCTTCACTAGATTCCTGCTATCCTGAGTCAATTATTGATGGAATAAAACCTTTTTAAATTCTAATAACATTTATTATTTTACAGATTAAAAATAATATTTGTTTATTATAGAAAATTTGGAAAAGGCAGCACTTCAAGGAGAAATACAGATCACTCACAAACTCACCTTTTGGTCAAAACCACTATTAATAGTTTTAGTGTATATTCTTCCTATCAGAGAGAGTATTAATTCTAGAGATTAATATGGAAAGAGATGTAAATATGCATATAGCACTGGGTTTGATCCCAACTCCACACACACTAAGATTATCTTCTGAACTAATTTTGCAACCATATTTTTGTATGTGTGTTTTGTTTAGTTTTACCTAAATATACCAAGACTATGTCTAAATGTCATTAAATATTCTTCTATTTTACAAAATGAATCTTTCTCTCATTTTGACAGGACAGTGATATTGAAGCATTAGCCAGGTGTTTGGAAAATGTCCTGGGTTGCACCTCTCTAGGTGAGTAAGTTTCTTCAGATTCCAAATGACAGTGTTACTTATTGATTCTGATGGAATATCCAAAAGTTAGAATGTTTAGAAGGAATCTTATAGGTACTTTGCCCAATCTCTTCATTTTACAGATGAAGAAACTGAGGCCAATAGAGGCTGAGTGTCTGGCTAAGAAGTCAGGAAACTCAAAGAAGAATTGCTTATTATTATTATTATTATACTATAAATGACCTTTAGTCTCCAAGGATGAAATAATTGAAAGTTGGTAGTTCCTTGTGATCAAATGGTAGCCAGACAGTATGCAATAACAGGTTTACAATCCCGGCACAGGAATCGCCCTACCTAACTTGTTTTATAGAAGCAGATTGCATTCAGTCAAGCTGAAAGGACCATCATTCTGAAGGTCAGTCAGTTATTGGAAGAGATTTGGTCTGAAAAACAAAACCAAAATTTCTTTAGCATTGTCAGTCTCGATAAATGAGGTTGCTGTGCTTCAAGGATAAAACCCTATTTCTTAGTGTCTTTTTTTTTTAAATCCAAAACGTACAACTGTGATAACTTTTTGCACTAGACAGTATATTTTCAGACAGAGTATTCTTAAAGGCCCTAGATGAAAGGAGTATGAACTTTTCTTTTAAATTTGATTATGAGTTTTTATTTTAGGAATTTTAATTATGTAACCAGAAGCATTCTCTTCAAAGGGAATGGAAGAATTAAAGATGAACATTGAAGCTTTCATGTGAGCAAATGTTCACCACTATTTATTAGGAGCTTTATGTACAACATAACCTCTTTCAAACTCAGGCCACATCTCCATGTGGAAAGCCACAGTCAAAACATAGTTCTTTGATCTTTCTCTCCTGACCATCACCCTGTGATGGTTTAATTGCATATTAGTGATACTTATTAAGTAAATTTAACTCTTAAGATGGCCTAGAAGGATAGGAAGGATTTCCTTTGACCAAGTCACTTCCCCTCTTTGCATCTGAGATTAGATCAGTAATTTGCAAAGTAGGCAGCTCCTTGGGACCTCCAAGATTGGGCAGTGGGAAATGTACTGAGCAGCATGAGGACAGAAGCTGTGTTTTTACTGCTTGATCTCTGTTTTTCCAGACTCTAACATTATGTCTGGTGTATAAAAGGCCCTTCAAAAGTATTTTAAAATGTTTTTGGAAGCAGTTAGATACAAACTGTCTTCCTTTATCAGCATCCAAGATAGTTTCAATCTTATCTATTTTATAAATTGAATTTCTACATAAAATTGTGTTTTGAAAAAGATAGATTCCACTAAAAAAAGTTAAATAACCTGTGATTGGGTAAGTGATATCTAAATTCCCTTCTAAACTGTATGATTTTGTAGAAATGAGCATTAGACACAAAATATACATTTATCTCTGCCTGGAGTCCCACTAAAGTGACAGTAAAGAAATAAAGCTGCTGATATAAACCTACAGGAAAAAAAAGGAATAGAAGAAAGCTGTTGGTGAATTTCAGACGAGGAAAAACAGATGGGTGAGTGGTAACTGATTCAGAAAACAAATCTGAAAGCCAAGTGCCTAAGATGTGTATGGGAGGGAAGAGAGGGCAGGAGGAGGACTAGGAGAAGCAAGCCAACTGAACCCTCAGGATCTTGGAAAGGCTCAGAATTTGGAAGCCCCTGTTACTGCTGAAGGCAAGACGTGGGTGAAGATGAAAATAGGAGGATCGATGACAGTGTGCATAAGTATCAAGAGATCCCAGGTCCCTTTCCCTGCACGGGCACTCCCAGGGAGTTCCTTTCCACAGTCAAGACAGAAGACACAAGATTTGATTTGGGGAGATTCAGTGAGAGAGGTGCTGGACATAGGGACACCAGGGATACCAAAGAGCAGGCCAATGTGATGTGAAAAAGGGATACAGTGAAAATCTGCATGGTGGATGAGGAAATCCCTAGCCACCATCCCTGCTTGTCTTCTGAAATACKTTCAGGACAGCACAGACCCCTTCAGAAGGTATCTCTCTAAGAGGACCTGTCTAAGAATCCTACAGGCTATGACATTCTCCCCAAAAATGGTAGGAATAAGCCCTACCAGTTGATGATCACTGGATCCACAGAAAGAGCTTAAATTGTTTTGAGATTTTTTTTATGTTTCATACTTAGATGTAAACCTATAGCCAATTTGCAGCTGATAGCTGAGGAAATCTAACAAGATGGAAGTCAAAACAAAAATATATAAAATACTCAGGAAACAAACAATGTAGGGGAAATTTTTCAAAACAATTAATTTTTTTAAAAATCTGAGGAGATATTACATCAAAGAAACAAGCAACCAAAAAAGAATATACAGAAAATAAGAAAGAGCTCTTGAAATTATAATTTTAATAGCAAAATAAGAAAGTTCAGTCAAAGTTTGGGAGATGAAGTTGAGAATTTCCAAAATTAAATAAATTTAAAAATAGATCAATCTAGGTGGTTCAGCATCTAATTAATAGAAAATCCTGGAAATAACAGAAAAAGAAGAAATTAATCAAAGGAATAAGAAAAATGTCTAGAGATAATAAAACAGATCATTTATAAAGTATCAGGAAAAAGGATGGGGTCTTATCTTTACTAAAGATTTGTTTTCTAAGGTTTAACCTAGAATTTTTTTTTTCATATCCAAACCAACAATCAAATGTGAGAGAAGAATAAAGAAATTTTTCAGGCATGCAGTCTCAACAAATGAGGTCTCAGATATATACTTTCCATGGCTTTTCCTGTAATGTTTCTAGAAGTTATGCTCCAACAAAAAATAGGAGTAAATCAACAAAGAATTAGACATGAAGTTTAAGAGATTAACAGGATTCCCACAATGAGAGTAAAGGAAGGTCCCCAGGTGACAGCTGGACAACGGGCCTGCAGAAAAATCTGTTCTGATTGAAATGGGTCAGAAGGCTGTAAACTGAATGGAATTTTCCTGAGGAAGAATGGATCTAAAGGAAAACTCACTGGATTTGACTATAATGAGAGAAGTTTTCAGTTTATTTGGAGAGTTAGAGATGAATTAGGAAGAAATAATCAGAAAAGTAAGCAATGTAAAAACTTCAAGGCAATTATTAAGTACAGGAAAAACAAAAAGTTAGAAAGAAAATTTAATCTGCATGCACTAAGGGCTTGTCTGTGTACAATGTTTACAGTCATAGTAATTTAAATATTGAATTATTTAAAAATTGTATTCTACCTATATTGGAACAATGGATGTAGGAAAGATATGAGAGAGGGAGAGGGAGAGGGAGAAGGAGAGGGAGAGGGAGAGGGAGAGGGAGAGGGAGAGNGGGAGAGGGAGAGGGAGAGAGAGAGAGAGAGAGAGAGAGAGAGAGAGAGAGAAGCAGGGAGATAGAGAGCACCTGATAACAGAGGCTGGGAGGAAAAAGAACAAAATCAAATTCCCACTGGGTTCAGTGGCACAAGCTGTAATTCCAGCTACTCAGGAGGCTGAGGCAAGATAATTCCAATTTTGAGGCTAGCCTGGGTGATTTAGCGAGTCCCTGTCCCAAAATAAAATGAAAAGAGTTAGAGATGTAGCTCTGTGGTAAAGCATTTGGCTAGCATGCTTGAGACCCTGGGTTTAATCCCCAGTACCATTCACATACACACATACACACACATGTACACACATACACACACACACACACACACACACACACACACTTCAAATTCTCCAAACATTAGTAGTATGTACATATGTTGTACAAAATGTAAAATAAAAAATAGTTGTATAAATGTGATATGGAAAAACAAAGGTAAATACAAGAATAGTTAAAAAGTTAAATATAGTTGACTTTGGAGAATGGAACTTGAAAGTGAAGCAGGGAACTGCTTTTTTATTATCAAATTGTTAGCTTTGGCTTTAAAAATTACCATATATGTGAATTCTTAGACTATAAATCAACTTTTAAAAATGAATATTGGTATAAACATAAGAGTGCTGCTATTTTCCCCCTCCCCCCAGTATTGGGATTGAATCCAGGGCCTCTCATGCTAGGTAAGTGCTGTGCTGCTGAACTACATCCCCAGGCCTTTTTATATTATTTTTAGATAGAGACTCACTCAATTGCCCAGGCTAGTCTTGTACTTGAGATCCTCTTGCCACACCCTCCTGAGTAACTGGGATTACAGGTATGTGGCTCCCTGCCCAGTTTAGGTATCTGTTTGATATGCTGATTTCATTTCCTTTGGATATATACCCAGAAGCTGGAACATATGATAGATATATTTAGTTTTTTAAAGAACTATATTCTCCATAATATCTATACTAACTTATATTCCCACCATAAATTATACAGTTAAAATCATCATCATCATCATCATCATCATCATCATCATCATTATCAAAGAGCATTGGAAAGCAAAGAGCCCAATATTGTTTTTCCATTACTTTATTAATCTCTTATCAAAGCTGGATTAGGAGTTTTGGATACCTTGATTATTGAGAAGATTATAATAAACCTAAATTTTTAAATTAATAAGATTTAAATTGTAAAACAAAAAAAAAATTACATGTACCTTGAAGTTAAAATAGCTTCTTTCTAGATTGTCCAGTTGCAAGATTCTGAAAAAAAATTATTGAAGCTGAATGTTTTTCAGTTTGGGATGTCCCTGTTCTTCTTGTGTCCTAGAATCAATTGGCATAATTTATAGGACATTTTAGTATCGACTTTGTGTAAACTGCTAAAGTGCTTGTTTTCTAAAACCGGACAAGACAGGAAGCCCTTTAACCCCTCTACTACTTCTTTTGACTGTGATGACCTCTTATGGTGACATTTGTTTTGTGCTGTTGGTTGGTGGAGTCTAACTAATGCTACTGCTCAAAATGAGGGGGTCCTTTGATGATGACTTTGAGATGATGGGAGCACATGCTTTTGAAATACCTGCTGAGGAGGGAACTCACAGAATGATCCTCATTACTGAGGAGACATTTGCTACTCTTAGGGTGCCAAGCACTTTTTTGCCTTTACATAGTAACCACGAAGACAATCTCTTGTGGTCT